TTGTCTTGAAAATAAATGTCACAGCTTAATGAAATAGATAGAGTACGTACATGTACATGTATGTGGGGGATCTGGATTCACTTTCATGGCGTTTGAAAGCTTGAAACAATAATTGTATTTGGCGGGGGGGGGGGTTACATTTTAAAAGTACAAAGAGATATGATACTGCTCAAATAATTATCAAGAAATGCCTGTATATGGTAAAACTGGTCATGGGACTTTGTACTTTATATTTATAAGACTAATACAGTAGCATCAATAATGCTTTAATTGTCCTTCAAACTGACAACTTGCAGGGAAGGACTGGACAATCAGTCTTCTTTTAATTCTAAGAATAATTCTTAGAGTCAATGGTAATAAAGAAATGCCATTTTTTAGCTCCAACTTGAAACCAATATCAATCCACAAGAAAGATGCTCCTTTCCGCCAGACTCACGCAAACAATCATTTCCTTTAATATTTTTCATTAATTTTGTCCAATATTCACTTTATAATAACAACTTAGGTGGAAAATAGCAGTTCATTAGGGTCTGTAATTGATACCCTCCCATCAACCGTCTCATCCAGAGCGGCGACTGCGCCATTGGTCGTTACATTAAGTCAGCATTATTCATTGCAGTCAGTGGAACAAGGGTCGCTTAGATCAAAATGAGAAATAAAAACGGATTTTGAGAGAATACACGTGGCCGCTTATGACATATTTAAACCTAAATACTAAGACCGCATAATGAATGGACCGCTGATACAATTATCATCCAGAACACGTAATTCATCTTGACATGATGCAATTCTTTTGACATTAGCGTCATGTTCGGCTTGTCTGGAAGTTGGGAAAAAAGTGTGACCATCGTGACACTAAAATGGCGCTGTAAATCAGCCAATCACCATTAATCTTACTTTGACCAAGTTATTCCAGATATCTATATACATGTACATGTACATGTAGTCTGTACGATTCATTTAAGACTTCGAAAGAACATACAAACACGCTGGGCCCTCATCATGCAAAAAATCTCTCTTAACTAAATATCCTACATTTTTTTTCTTTTTTAAAACTAGAATCATTGATAGAATTATAAAATCCTTTTTCTGAGGTAAAGTGTTACAATGCAATTTTTTAAAATAACCCATTGAACATTCTCCCAAGAGCAATAATGCTTCTAGATTACTTAGGTTACTTATTGAACTTAAGCACAATGTACATGTACATGCTATTCCGATTGTGAGGGAAACCATGTGCTCCACGTTCAGAATTGTACAAGTAGCTCCCAAATGTTGTTTGTATCTTAGTTAAAATATAAAAAAATAAAGTCATCAGTGTGTCATATTGTACATTTTAACTTTATCGGGTGGATGGAATTACAAAAGGTCTAGAACCATGCACCATTAAAATGACCTTATCTCAAAAGATCTTTAACGTGATTTTGATTCTCAATTTCTTTCTTTCTTTATATATATATATATATATATATACCGCCAGACATCCAGCCGATGACTTTCTTGTATTTGTTTGCATTTGATACGGTAATATTTCTTATCCACGAATATACTTTTATGTTACAACATATATACAATATATTATTCACGAAACATAAAAAAAATGTATATTAAATTTAGATAAGTGTTTAAGAAAGTGATATTCAAACATACTCCTAGTCTAAAATACTAGTAGATCAGCTAAAATATACATGTACATCTACAATGTCTCTCTCTCTCTCTCTCTCTATATATATATATATATGTATATATATAACGATGCACAAGAGATTTTATTTTTGCATTGCTTTTAATAAAACCGGATTGTATTTGAGAAAGATGACGTATAAACACGTGACTGATCTCATTTCTTTTTAATAATTAAAGAGAATTTCTCAGTAATCAACAAGAGGAATAAATCTGAATCGAAGGTTGGACAGCCGAGATGAGCGTGGATAAGAAAATTTGCCATATCAATAAAACAAATACAATGTACATGTAAGAACTGATCTGAATTCAGAATTCAGAATCTGGATAACAGGCCATTAACTGACTACACGCAAATTGTATTTTCATCGTCCTTATAAACACGGGTGGATTATTTTTTAGACTATGCTTTTTCAAATAAAATATTTTTTTTAAAAATTATATGAGTGTTTGGATTGTTTTGAATAAAAAAAATGAACAAAAATTAAAAAAAAAAAAAAAGAGCTGTTTTATTTTTAGAAAGATAACCATACACGTTACACAGATTTTTCTACTTTATTCCCATATATGACGTTAGTCTATAGCAATATGCTTTTGATTTTTTATCGCTCTATTATGAACAATTGACTCTTCATTATCCCTGCCGCGAAATTCATTACCGCTCTTTATCACTTTCATTTATTCCCAGTGGGTGAAAGGATTTTCCCGTCAATGCACAACAAGCATCGTTTAAAATTAGGTTCATCAAATAAAAAAATTAAAGGCAAGCGAGGACCAGATGTGCATCTCATCAATGATATGCAATTTTGCCATTGACCAATAGTTCTTTAAAGTTTGAAGCAAATAAAATACTTTTATATTCCAATCAGTGACTTAGTAAGCCTTTTTCTGAATTTTCCTTTAAAATTGCAGTGACATTTTATGAAACTATATTACAACAATAGCGATCGTATTCGTGAGCGATAAATACGTAATTGATTTTAAATTTGAATATACTGTGAGAAATTTATTTTTATGGTCAACGGTCAACCATTTAAGTGGGTATTCAAAATGTCAGTTCGGCTTAAAATTCAGCAATTAAATCCGTTTACTGATTGTCTGACCTCGGTTCATTTGTAAATATCATGAGCTCCAACTTATCAGATATTGTCGTTCACACGTCGTGATGCTTTCGGTGTGTAAACTAAATAAAAATTCTTCTTCTTTGGAAATGATTTTTTCATATAGCCGATTTTCATGTAATATGGATACGAAAATAAAGAATTGTTTTCCTGATTTTTATATATTTCATAATTTTAATAAAGTAGTAAAAAAAAATTAACGAACGATGATTTTTATCGTCCAACATAACTTATTTCATTTGCAGTTTACCATCAAAACAATTTCATATAGATCAAAATGGATTTTTGGAAAAGAAAATATCTAAAACCATTTATATATTTAAAGCATTTCATTTTTAGTGATTCCAACAAAATTTGTCTATCGTTTATGTAACTCATAGAAATAACTGATCCACTTATTTTTGCGATCATTTACGCTATTTAATATTTAAACTTTGATCTATATAAAAAAAATTAAAAATTAAAAGATCTTTCTTTTGCATAATCCTATTTGTATATATTTTTTTTATAATAAAATATGTTCAAACTAAACAATAGATAACATGAGGTCGTACTTGATTAGATTGTGGCCCTAGTAGTTTGTGTATAGAGTGTAGAATGGATAATCATTAGTCTATTCATCCATTTTTTGTTTTAAAATCTGAAATTAAAAAAAAAACTCAACCAAATGGGAAATTTTTACAAATATATATCCTTTTTAGTTCCATAATCAAATGATAATCTGACCAAGCATTTACTTAACTTATAAGTAAATCTCAATGTAGCAGCCAGTATTGATAAATCATATCGATACAAAATGACATCAACATATATAATGAACAATTTTTTTTTTAATGTTTTGAATCAGTAACGTTATGAGACTGGAAATCTTTTAAGTAAAAATGTTATATTGGGATTTTATCAAAAATCTCGAATAATCTTAATTAAATTACTGAGTATTACTAAGATTTTAACCATTGTATCTCTCAAGAACTAGTTTTTTTTTCCATAAATCAGGAAGGTGTTATTGGAAATAACAGTTTATTTTATTTCATTATTTTTGGTCTATATTCAATGATATGATGCATCTGGTTCACATTGTTACGCTATTGTAATGTGTCTAGTTAGATGTTTTAATTATCTCTTTGTCAAACATGTTCAACAAATGCAACTTTCATAAAAATAATGCATGCAAAAATATAAAGCGTCACAAGATTTTGCTTAGTACATGTATATTTTAATGAATGAATGCTCATGGACAAGTTAAATATCTTTCTTTCATTTAAAATGATGAATTACTGCTATATGACAATACTGATGACTGATACTTTAATTTAAAGAGTTTTATTTCTTTTGTAGATATAGGCCTACTAGTAATACATGTAAAATTCGATACCTTTAAAAGAAAAGAAGTCAATAAAATCAATAAGGGGGAATAAGTTCTTAATTAAAAAAAAATAAAAATTTCTACACATCGTTATAAGTGGATTGGGAGGAGTTTTTGTTTTTGATTAGGAGAGATTACATTGAACTTGAGCTTTACAAATATACATGTAACAATTCAAACTGTTCACTGAGATCTGTTAGAGAACAGGGTACAATGTAATTATTCCAAGTTTGAAGATGACATTTCAATACAAGTGGGGGAAAATCAAATCATATTAGACCACAAGAAAAATCTTAGAAAAAAAAAGGATGCAATCTATAAACTATTGAATTAAAATTCACTTCAAAATAGAATCACTAAAGATTGATCATACAAAATGTTTCAGATGCTTAATTACAAATTTTAATTTTTTTTTAAATCCGTAATTTTAGTACCTGTAGACTATTATATAACTTCTATTTTCAGAGACTTAGGCTCTGGCCGAGGGTGAACGTTGATTAGAAAACAATGAAAAAAAATAATAAAATGTTTCATTAATAAATGGGCGTGAAAAATATAATATGGGAAATGCTTCAACAAATGAGGGCGTTTTCCTACATTGTGTCCTTTTTGCTTATTCACGTAAACAAATTCCCCACAAGAGCACGAGTCTGCATAGGGTATTATTACAAACACATTTTACTGATAGTTGCCAGGTTGGTTCAACCTGGTATTGTCAAGTCAAAGAGCATTATTAGAATACTACTTGGTATTTTTCCTTCGACAGATGTGCACAAGAAGTTGTTATCAAGGTGACTTCAACAAGACAAAAGTCTAAAACTTTAATTTACCTTAGTACGAAAAAGAAATTAATGAATAATCCTGAAAGATAAAAAATTAAATCCCTCGAGTTATTCCAGTAACACTGTATTAGTAATTCCATCTTTGAGTAAGGGATCAAACAAAATTAATCCGTATGAGATTTCAACATTAGCTCCAATGTGTTCTCGAGGTCTTCTCCAAGGAATCTAACTAATTTCCCAGAAAATTTATTACTCTTATATACCTAAAACGGTAGCTTAAATCACCTTTTCCAGAAATACAGTTATTATAAAGACGAGAAAACTACATCTTGTGAGCTTTATATGTGACATTTTGCAGTTCTAGAGTGTAATTTCCAATGGATTGCAACCCTGTATTATTATCATTACGGAGTAACTCTGTAATTTCAAATAATTATGTGCAAAATCAAAAAAATAAGTACCCTATTTAATAATCAGAATCGAACGACTCGATCAAATTAGCCATCATCGATTACCGGTAAAGAACAATTTTATGTAAAGTTTTATTCATGAAATCTTTGGAGGTGTACTGTAGGTTTTACATGCATTTTAAGGGAAATCTTGGTTAAGACACAAGAAATATGGCCTAATAATAACCAAAATTGGCGTTATTTCGATGTCAAATGACGTTGTTATGTGTTATTTTACACTGAATGCAGTTTCCCGTATTTATTCTTGTGTGCCAATAATTATGATATACGAGGGGAGCTTTCAGTCTCCAGCAGCTCGAAATTCCACTGATCAAATTGATATCAAAACGGAACACAAAGTCTGTAATTATTTCTCTTTTTCATAAATACACATGAAACTTGCTTCGAGCAATCAATGCTGTGATGGGTCTTTGGTTACATATTCCAAGAAACCAGAATATGGTAATTGATGTCTAAGGAAAATGGTTTATTTTTCGTGTCATCTAGATGTTTTAATATCATAACTTTTGAGTTTGTAAGAAAAAAACTTCGTAAGAAAGTTAAAATGATTGGTTGGGTGTTAATTTCAGCTTAACTGTACAATATGTTAGTCAATACATACTTTACATAAAATTGCTCTTTGCCAGTAATCGATGATGGCTAATTTGACTAAGTCGTTCAATTCTGATTATTAGCATATGGGGTTTATGTCTCACAGTTGATTTGATACGCAAGAGTATGCTCTATGTACGAACAATTTCTAAAACGAGGCAAGCTATCGACAAATAAGTTGATGAAACAAGAATATCAACAGCCTCGGTTAAAGTAAACATTTTGCAAATTGTATAGTCGATACAATAACCTTGTCAGCAAATACAATCTATCATTAAGTCGAATGTAAACTGACGTTTTTCATACAAATTGTTAGGCCATTATTTTCACACTGAATTGTCTACGGATTTTCCCGTTTGCCCGATCATGACAAGGAACACACAGCTCCATCGCACATGATCCCACCTCTGATGTTTTAGAGGTCCGTGTTTGCTCTGCTCCAATTAAATTTGTATTGTTTCATAGGACTTTTGAGCTTGAATACTGTTTATCTTCATATTTCATTCTAGAAAAAGGATCACCACCAGTTGATAATTGTTAGGGTATTATTTCAGTCTTTCTTTTTGGTACTTAATTTGCTTTTTTGAAATATTACTTACATATTAGAAAGCCATACTTAATACTAGTAGTTAAAGTACTTTTTTCTACATTCTTAAAGCATATAACCCAGTAGTAACATCACCAAACGGGAATCGTGATTTTGTTGGTATATTTTAAGTATCTATGAAATTCAACTGAATCATTTCATACAAGATTAATATCTAACATATGCTACACTTTATACTGGTCATAATTTCCCTTAATTCCTGAGAGGGCACCTTATGAGAGTCTTATAGTAGCACCATAACAAAATAGTGAGGATTGAAGGCTTACACAAGTATACAAATGCAAATAAGCTTAAAAAAACTGCTGTGGTAAACCAAGCTAAAATTCACGTAACGATGACGAAGAAAATGTTTTTCGTAGATGATATCAGAAAAGCAAAAAACTAGTATAACTTTACAATTACAAACATCTGAGAAAATGTAACGCAGCTGTCAATCTTCCAGACTTCAAAATAAAGACAAAATTGAGAAGTATGTCATCAGGTGAGTGACAGTGAATTTCCTTAATTATCCATATATACACTTTACATAATTACTGTTGATCGAATAAAAATCAGGTACACATATTCTAGAATATACTTGAGTAATCTAATTTTGCACACATACACCAAAAAAAAAAAATTAAATTACATGAAATAAAAAGATCAAACTATATATGATGTAACGTCTTTTGTGATTTTGGACCAGAAATTATAGTGTAATGAAATATGGAGATAACGAACAGCAATCAAGCTCAAAAATCCATTGAAACAATACAAATCGGGAGTAGAGCAAACACTGACCTCTAAAAACATCACAGGTGCCATGGAGGAGTAAGCTTCCCCCTGTCGACCGGTCACACCTGCCATGAGCTCATTGTCATGATCAGGCAAACGGAAAAATCCGTAGACAATTCTGTTTTTAAATATCGGCCTAACAATTTGTATGAAAAACGTCAGTCAGCATTTGACTTAATGATACATCGTATTTGCTGATAAGGTCATTGTATCGACCATAGGACTTGCAAATTGATGACTTTAAACGAGACTGTTCATATTCTTGTTTCATAAACTTGTTTGTCAATAGCTTGCCTCGTTTTCGAAATTGTTCGTACTTGGAGCATGCTCTCGCGTATCGAATCAGCTGGAAGATATAAACCCCATATGCAGGTGATAAGGATATATTGCTACATATTAAGTAAGGGAAGTTGACGATAGAAAAGTTGAAGTCATCACGTTTATCATAAAATTTTGTTGTTATTTTACCATTTATGTCATTTTCTAGTAAAATAAGATGTGTCAGACTCTGTGGTATCTTTTATTTCAAGTTCACTGGGATACATCGAGTCGACATATGAATGGAAGTAACTATTGTTAATTGATAATGCGTCGTCGATATATCTAAATGTCGAACTGAAGGCCACTGCAAGTGTTTTATTCTTCTCATGTACAAGTTTTTTTTTTAATAAATTCTGTAAGTTATACAGCTCAGCTGAGAATACATAAATTTAGCTCTACATATGGAATGACCTTGAACTTCGGTATAAGAAGGTTGATCCAAAACCAATGTCACAACTGCTATAAAATCTTAAATAATGAAAAGTTATCAACAAAAATGTATATACTATAATACTAATACCTCTATTTTAAATTTTGCCTTAAAATTTCATTAAAACATCTACAATATTTTTTAAAATATCAAAATAAACACAACGTTAGGTCTCGTATATCGCCGCGTGGTAAGAATAAACCGACGTCGTTATGACTTCCTTCGGCACTCATTTTCAGTTCATCCATGAAGCTATTCAATCTCTCACATATACACATGCACACGTTTTATTTTATATACACTCCCAACTGTGTTGGAGCGTCTAGTTTTGAGCTATATTTTATTAAAGAAATATGTTTATATACTTTCCATTTTACATTTTGCATATTTATTTCACTGTGCGTACATGTAGATCTGATGTATCATGGGATTTAAGAAGTAATGATGTGAAAGGCTCATCCTCTACGCACCATCTTCTTTCTAGCATCTGTCCATCTTTTGATTCCATTTACATTGGTATTATGTGCAAATTTTGTATCTTTATAATATTAATTATTTCCCTAATTAGTAATAAATGTTTCGGAAGTCTGGCGTTAAGTCAGGTTTAAACATTTAAACTGAGGAAGATGAACCTCAACCTCAACCTTTAATGTCACTTGCAGTACTCCTGAATCTGACGATACATAAGACCTATGCAAAAGGAATGAGTTTAGAAATGACATATGGAAAAAGTGAAAATAATTTTAATTCTACAACTTAGAACAAGACCCTTTTTATCAAAATGGCAGTAAAATTTACTTAAATCAGGCCCGTAGGAAGCAATTTCAGTTTGGGGGGGGGGGGGGCACAGCCATACATTTTTCAGTTGACGTTGAGGGGGCACTACCAAAAATTTCCTGACAAGCAAAAAAAAAAAAAAAAAAAAAAAAAGATCATCAGATGTTTTTATTGAGGGGGCACAAGCACACGTTATCTATGTTTACTATAGTAATCTTTATATCGGCAAAATTATTGGGGGGGCACGCCCCCCCCGTGCCCCCCCCCCCGGTTCCTATGGCCATGATTAAAAGAAGCATGTGAGAGGCTAAAAGGAAATGCAGAGGAACTGGAGAGTAACGTCATTACGACGTCGATAACATTCTTGCCGTGCGGTGATAGACATAATTTTAAGTTGTGTTTTTCTTAATATTTTTTAAAAAGTACTCTATACTTGGAAATTTTCGGCCCTTTCGCCCAAATCACATGTGAGCAAATTTAAAATGGGGCTAATTCAAGAGGACATCATAATCTCTTTAACACATCTTTGTCGGGGTGAATTTAAAAACAGGGCAAAATTGCTTGAAAGTGTGAAAATAGCACGGGGTGAAAATAATCCTTTATACAGCATTTCATATAAGTGCATAAAAGGCATAAAATCTAAATAGATAGAGGTTTTAGTGTGTAAAATTTTGTTAATAACGTACGATAATTAAAGATTTTAAAGCAGTTGTGACATTACTTTGGAACAACCCTCGTATGACCTTAGGGTAAAATTACATATTGTCTTAGCACGAAAAAATTGGTTTGTGAAGTCACCATCAAATAACTCAGAGAATAGCCCCAGACAAATATAGCTTACTGTATTAAAGCAACAATGGCCGAAGCCTTTTACATATATCAAAGAGGCAGGATTAGTCACGTCACCTAAAGTAATATATAAAATGCTAAAGTAATATCTAGTGGATGTAATGTGAAATAAAACATTAATCACTCTCAGTTATGGTCTCGCATACAAGGTTTGGAAAATATTTTAACACCGGCCTTGACATTTTTTCTTTTTATGAGTTTGCAAATCAAAGATACTGATAAGGATTAGACGCATACAATGTAACTTAGTAAATGCATGTTACACTCTACACTGGTGCCATTTTACAAAATCACGTAAAAGGAGCACCACAATAGAAAAGTTTGGACTGAAAACTAACACTTCATGAATCATAACTATACATAACAGAAGCAAGTATAAGCCAAAAACAAAAGATCTTCTATCCTAAACCAAGATAAGTTACGTAGAATTACTTAATTTTACAACTAATGTCAAAAGACATGAAATTCTGATATTTACACG